CGGAGGCTCCAGGCAGAAAGAGCCTCCAGCCGGGGAGCCCGGGCCGGAGTGCAGAGGTGAGCGCAGCCGGTGCAGAGGGCTCCCACAGCCGTCGGCCGCCTGGGGGAGGGTACACTGTCCATTGTCCCGGAGAGGAGCACGTCTGAGGTCTTCTGGGGCCCGGAGGGACGGTTTCCGCGTGTCCTGGGACTGGGATAAGGTCTGTCTGCTTCACTTTCTAACTAGAGTATGATTGTTACTGAACCCTCCTGCCTCAGCTTCCTGTGTGTAAGATAAATACCTTCCTCAAAAAGGTGGTGTGGGCCACTTTGGTAGCATTCCTATGCCAGATGCTTGAGGAAGAGATGATCCAGGAGGTGGAGGGGTGTCTGTGTGTCTGTGTGTCTGTGTCTGGGGGGGGTCCCCACCTTGCCTCCGGGCCCATCGGAGCCTTCGCCATCCTCAGCAGAGCTGGCGCTGTCCCGAAGCCTGGAGCGGGAGGGCCGGTGTCTCCTGCCCTTCACCAGTAGCTGGGCCCGGGCCTTGTGTAAACTGCTGTCCAGTCTGGCAGTCTCTGGCACAGCCAAGTCCAGGTCTGCAAACGGACGAAGGGGGCAGAGAGCACAGGCTGGGGACCAACCAGGGCAGCTCATGGACACAACACAGACCACCCTGTCTGGAGCTTAAAGCCTGGCCTGGGTCCTAACGTATGTGTAGGAGTCTGCAAGTGAGGGAGGAAGGAGGGAAGCAGGGCAGCACCTTCAGGGATGCTAGGAGGGGGCTCCACGAGAAGGCCCAGGGTCCAGGCTGCAGTGACCACAGTGACAGTGGCTCAGAGAGGTCAGGTCACTTGACCAAAGTGTCAGCCGGAAATAACCAGGGATCTGAGCCTGGCTGGTCTGACTCCAGCAAACGGCCCTGCTGGGGTTACTGTCTTGCTTGTCACGCTCAGGGTCAGGGCAACGAGACCCCACTGGCCAGTGGCAGTGGCAGGAAGAAGCGCCCTGGGTTTCTGAATTCTGTCCCTGCTGGGTGGGGTCTGTGGTCCTGAGCTGGGTCCTCCACGATGTCCTGGAGGAAAAGTAGGTGATTCCCGGGGATCGTGTAGAGCAGCACTTCCGGTCAGAGTCTTCACGCTTCCTGTACCCTCCTGGGGAATGGCCTCACCCTGTACTGACCCTGTCCTTGGCCCGGGGTCTCCAAACAGGAAAGATTCTTCCGGGCCTCAGGATGGTCAAGCCCGCTCTTCTCCGTCCTGGCCCATCCCTTCGTGCCCAACCTGCCTTGCTCATCCCCCTCTTGTCTGGAGATGCCCCAAAGCCACTCACGGCTTAACGATCACTTATGTCTATTTCCAGCCCTGTCCCCACCCCTGAGGGAACTTGGTCAGTTGGAGACCTCCAGACCATTCAGATTCAACCCACCAGAAGGAACCCATGGGCCTGTCAGGGTGGCACATGCTTGTAATCCCAGCACTCAGGAGGGTGAGGCAGGAGGACCGCCTTGAGTTTGAGGCCAGCCTGGGCTACATAGTGAGTTCAAGGCCAGCCTGAACTATACAGAGAGACCTCTCAAAAAACAAATCCATCAGCCAAGTGTAGTGACACATGCCTGTAATCCTGGGGAGGCTGAGGCAGGAGGATTGCGTGTGAGGCCTTAGGAAGATCCTATCTCAAAAAACAAACCAAACCCCATCATCTTGCCTTGAAGAGGTGCTTCTCTCTTCCCTGGCTCAGTGAAAGGTCCACTGTCTGCCCAGGTCACCAGAGCCAGACATCTCTGAGCTACCCTTCTCGGCCCCACCTCCAGCTGATAACGCCTGTGTCCAATTATCTGCTTGGATGCCAGTGGGCACCCTCCACTCCCATGCCCAAACTGAAGGCCTGGCCCCCACCTCCCCATCCAGGAGAACAGCAGCCCCACCTTGCAATGGCTCAGGCCAAACCCTGGGGGGTCATGCTGGATGCCACCCCTCCCGCCCTGGAGCCTGGTCCAGCCTCTATTCCCCAGAATATTTATGTGGAAGTGATTTGATATTTTCCAGTAAGTTCAGAATAATCCACAGTCATAGGTGGAAGTGGGTAGAGGAGAAAGGAGACTGCCCCCGGCTGGCATGGCCAGGACAGGGTGTCTGGTACAGGAGCGGGTGACAGAGAACCCAGAGCTCTTCTCCTGTGGCTGTGCACGTCTGAGGTTTCCCGAGATGCACTGCTGCTTCCGCGCTTGTCCACTCTGGTATTCGTGTCCGCCTGTGGGGGCGAAGAACCCACGGCCTCTCTGGCCCAGGTCAGCGTCTTCTCTTGCCTCCATGACTACATGCCTCTTGGGTGGTCTTCCTGCCTCCTCCCTTCCCCCATGCAGTCTTATTTTCAATACAGGAGCAGCAGAGTGACTCTAATGCAACGTGTTAGCTCTGTCACTCCCCTGCTTTGCACCCTCTAGTGATTCCATCCCTCGTGGAGTAAGAGCCATAGTTTTCCCAACAGCCTCTCACACTTGTTTTGTGCCCTCCTCACCTCTTCAAGCTGCTGCTTCTCTATCTCCCATGAGCCCTGGACCCCAGGGCCTTTGCACATGCACTTCTGCCTTCCTAGGAGGCTCCTGCCAGATTCCTGTGTGATTCTCCCCCAGTTCCTCAGGTCTTTGCTAAAATGAGGCCCTCTCTGACTTCCCAATTTCTAACACCTTCCAGAACGCCACTCCTGTTTTTCCTGCATCATTCATCATGCTCCAGCATGAAGTATACATATTTAAATTACTAGTTGTTTTCCACCTATTAGAATGTCAGCTCCATGTGGATAGCTTTTTCTCTGTTTTGCTCACCACCACTGACACAGGGCAGTGCCAGGCACACAGTAGGTGACAGTAAATACTGTTCAAATGGCAGAACAGATCTCTACTGATTGGCCTTCACCAAAGGTGTGGAACCTGGCCTGTCCCTTCCGTCTGGACCGCACTGTCCTGGCTCAGGCCTCTGCCAGTGGCTGCCATCCCAAGCATCAAACTCTCCCTGGCACAGAGTGCAGCTCATGCCGGGAGCTCTGGGCTGGGGGAAGGGCAGCTACTGCCAGGAGGCTGTGGCCTCGGACCCCGGCTGGACGCTCGTCCCTGAGCAGCACCTGTGCCTCACCTCAGTGTTTTCAGCCCTGGGGCTGAGCTGGAGGGTGGGGACCCTCCTTTCCCAGGGCCCTGACACAGATCTCTGGGCCCTGCCTGGAAGCAGCAGGGACTGAGGACTGCGGAACTGCAGAGTAGTCAGAGTTGCTGTGCTCTTGTGCTCCAGGTCTGCACGATCATTACGCAGCTCAAAACCTCCTGGAACCCAAGGAGCGAGGGACTCCAGGAACCCCCCGGGGCAGCCTTAATGTACTCAAGGCGACACGGCTGGCAAAGCTGGCCTGGGTTAAAGATGGGCAGCCTGGGTTGTTTGTAACCACCATGCATGCCTGTATGCTAAAATTAGGGTCTTGAAGACGCTATGTCACTTGAGACTGACCTGGAACTCACTATGTAGCCCAGGCTGGTCTTGAACTCACAGCGATCCTTCTGCCTCAGCCTCCCGAGTGTTGGGATGACAGGTGTGCGCCGCCACACCCGGCTGTCCCTTTGTTTTTGAGACAAGGGCAATTCAGACCGGCCTTGAACTCATTAGGTAGCTCAGGCCAGCCTCAAACTTGCAGTGATCCTCCTGCCTCAGCCTCCTGAGTCCTGGCATTATAGTTTACCACGATGCCTGACGGGATATCCTTTCTGAAGTAAAGATGGGAGTGACAGAGTCCAAACCTTCATTTCAGGGGTGGGAAACAAGCTCAGAGAGGAAAGATCTGGTCTGGGTGCAGAAGAAGTTAGGATAGTGGCCAGGTCTCCCTAATCCTCCTCCTGGTACTCAGGCAACCCGTGCCAGGGAGAAAGACCCTGTGCTCCCAACTCTGGGCCATGTGGGCATCTAAAGGGCACCGTAAGGTGGAGATTGCAGGGAGCACAGGGAGTAGAGGAAGAGAAGCCCAGTGAAGGCCTGGGCTGGAGCTCAAGAAACTAGGAGGCTGGGCCAGGGATTTATCTTGGTGGCACCACTGCCTGCCTCACAAGCGCAAGGTCCTGAGTTCAATCTCCAGTACCGCAAAAAAAAAAAAAAAAAAAAAAAAAAAA